CTAATTATAAACAGAGAAACACTACATTCATGGGTCGGAATACTCAATATTATATACAGATATGCTCTCCCAAATTGATCTATGGAGTCAAAGTAATCCTAATAAAAATCACAGCAGGTTTACCATGAAAATGTACTAGGTGGTTCTAAAATTTATATAGGAACAACAAGAGTCATAAATAGCAAGAATTTGCTAAAGAAGAACAGTAACTTCAAGTTCTAATATTTAATACATTGTAGTTCTGCCAAAAAGATAAATACACCAGAGAAGCAGAAAAAAGAGCCTAGAAATGGACCCTCACATATACGGACACATTATGTATGACAAAGATGGTGCTTGAGAGCAATAGAAAAACAATGGGCTTTTTAATTAAGGATGCTTGGACAACCGGATATCCATATGAAAAGCTGCCTATCCCTCACATTATACACAATAATAAATTCCCAAGCAGATTATAATCTTAATGTGAAAGATAAAAATAAAGCTTCAAGTACTTAATATGGCAAAATGTCTCCATGACCTCAAGTAGGAAATTCCTTACCTAACACAAAAGGCACTAATTATAACAGAAAAGACCAATAAATTTAACTCTACTAAAAACAGAAACTTCATTGGTCAAGGACATCATTAAGATAATGAAATAGCCCAATTAGATGAAGAAAATACTTGCTGAAGATATAGATAGATAAGACAAAGAATTCTTATCTAGACTATATAAACAACAAACTCTTAGAAAATCAACTAAGTAGAAAAGATGCAAAAAGTTTAAACAAGTACTTTATACATACACAAAAAAAATCCAAATGGCAAACAAAAAACATAGTATGTTCAACCTCATTAGTCATTAGGAAAATGCAAATTAAAACCACAAAGAAACAGCAATACATACTCTCAAGATTAGCTAAGCTAAGAAAGTCTATTGTGATACCAAGTATTGGCAAGAATACAGTGCAAAAGCAACATGTATACAACACCTGTAGGAAGAGTAACTACTACAGCTACTCAGGAAAACAGTTTGTTATATGCTAAAGATGTGTCCTATGACTCATCAATCCCACTCCTACACACATACCATAGCTACATATGCATACATACACCTGGGTACATATACAAGATAGCAGCACTGTTTGTGAATAGGCCAAAACTGAGAAGAACCCAAAAGTCCAACAACCACAAAACTGGGGTATATTCATTTAATAAAATACTATACACAAAACTAACCAACGACAGCCAAATACAACAATACCGATGAGCCATAACCTTGAGTCAGAGAAGAACAGAACAAACATTACAAATTGCAGAAATAAATATACTGAAGTTAAAAAAACCAACTTATAAATACTTAGGCATCGGGGCACCTGGGTGGCTCAGTGGGTTAAAGCCTCTGCCTTCCGCTCACGTCATGATCCCAGGATCCTGGGATCGAGCCCCGCTCAGGCTCTCTGCTCAGTGGGGAGCCTGCTTCCTCCTCTCTCTCTGCCTGCCTCTCTGCCTACTTGTGATCTCTGTCTGTCAAATAAATAAATAAAATCTTTAAAAAAAAAAAAGAAAGAAAGAAAAGAAAAGAAAAAAAGTCAGTAGGGGAAAATAACTCAAAAATTAAATGTAGGATTCTAATAGCCCAAAAGGACTAGCAAGATGTGATACTGAAGTAAATAAGTATGTTAAATATGAAAAGCAGATTTAACTTCTTAGATTGATATATATCAATATCTAAACCAATACCCATCATAACCCTAATAAAAACTAAGTCTAAGATCACAAAGTTATTTTCCAATGTCTGAATGCTAATCTTAGAAAAATAAATTCAAAAGTTGTAGTTTGCCTCCTGGTCAGCCTATATTTTGCTTGAATAAGTTCAAGTAAAAATTATACAACAGAGATAAGAGCTCTAACAACTATATTTACTTTGATGATTAAGCATGCAAATATTTAATATATACAAGAAAATATAGTCGCTTTATTGTCTGTACTAAATTATGAGGTATTAATCTTCTAATTTCCTAAAGTTTATTTTTTTATTTATTTGAGAGAGAGAGAAAAAAATCCACACAAGTGGAAGGAAGGGGTTGAGGAGGAACAGAGGAAGAGGGAAAGAGAATTTCAAGCAGGCTCCATACCCATGAAAGAGCCTGTCCCACCTGGATCTCATAACTCTGAGATCAGCACCTGAGCTAAAATCCAGAGTCAGACACTTAACTGAGTCACCCAAGCACCCCTAGACTAAAGTTTATTATGATTACATAGCACTACTGTACCTAACTCCAATTATGAAGAAGTTCATAAAGTTCAAAATAATTTTTAAATTTTTAAAAAATTATAAATGTTTAAAGTCTGCTAACCTAGCACTAAACTTTTAAATTTGTAAACTTTTGTTAACCTAGCTCCTCAGTCCCTTGTATAATTAAATACAAAATACTCAAAATCACTCAATCATGGATACATTAAAAAAAAGAAAACCAAAATGTATTAATGACAATATAATCAGTGCACAGAAAAGGCACCAATATCCAGAAGTACTTAGAACTAGTGCACTTCTTGGTTAAATTGCCTACCATTAGAAAATATGGTTCAAGGGGGGGAAAACAAATCATTTAATCACAAGGATAAAAGTAAAGTTAAGCTGTAAAATTCTATAGCACAATTAACCCAGATATTTAATGAATAAAATATAGAAACACTGATAGTAAGAGCTATGTGATCAAACACAGTATCTCAGAAGGTATTACTCAAGGCCATCAGCCACCACATCAGAGAAAGGACAAATTCCTATCACCAGGAAGAGTTATTTACTAGGAAACAATTCTCTATTGATTTCTCCCATTTCAGAACATGCTGTCATAGCTTTTGTTCCAAATTACTTTTCAAGGATGTTTCTAAAGCAAACACCCTGGCAAGACAGAAATGGTGACTTTTTCCAGGACAAAGGACAGATTTGTTTTCTGATCAATATGATAAAAATGGTATCTCCCTGAAGGGCAAAGACTAAACAGGTTTTCCAGCAGACCCTTTTAAAAGACTGCAAATTTCTAAGCTCTGGGTTCCTTTGTCATTACATAAATCCACTATATGTGCAGCATTCACCTGAGCCCATCTCTACATCGCCCCTTTGGGACTTGAGGATAAGAGAAAATATGCAAACATGCAGCAGCTGTACTAGATGTGCCATAATAAAGTCCTCTATTTCCAGCCCAGAAGTCTCATGGAACAGACAGCACAAGTGAAACTGTGACAGGCTAACTCATCAGCTTGCTAGTAAGGTATTAATCTCAGAATCTTCAGGGTTTTTTTTTTAGAGCTACATGCTGTATCCTTATTACCTGAGACATTTTCAAATCTAACAATTTTTTTGCAAGCATTAATAGATCCCTACAAAAGCAGTGAAAAACCTCAGGGGCTAATAAAAACCTTAAATAATAGAGGACACAGATAATGACCAACCATTTAATTTAACCCCCAAACATCCTCATATTTCAACTATACACTTAATTGAGTCATTTACTCATTCATTATCAGGTAATTTCTCATGTACTTAATCCCACTTTCAATGAGTTCAAAGTCTAAGGCAGAAAGAAGCATATGGAACTACTACAAAACAATTTCATTCTGTTTTAAAGTTGGGAAGTATAAATGAAATGTGAAAAACCATCACTTCTCCAAAGAATTTTCTACAACAAAAAGATGTTGAGTGTACATATTAAATTAGTGATTTTATTTGTACATCCAGTATTTTCAGCTTTGCTATTTAAAATGTAGTCCAAGGACCAAGAATATCAACACCTGAAGCTTGCTAGAAATGCAGATTATGGGGCCTAACAAGATCTTCAGGTGATTCTCATGCATACCAAAGTTGAAAAAGTACCCAAAAAAGAAAAAAAAAAATTGAGAGGAATAAATTTTACACCTGATCTTAGCCAAAAGGCCAAGAAGCAACAGAGAGGAAGAAATTTTAAATTTATAGTGAAGATAATGTTTTTTGTCATTGGACATATTAAAATCAAAATTATTAGCTCAGCAAAGCTTAAGGATGAGAAAAAGTCATAAACCATGTAAAGAATATTTAGCTGTTAACAATATCATAATACAGAAAAATCTAATTTGAACAAAGTATGAAAAAGTTAAAAAAAATAGATATCACGAATAATCAAAAAAGGGGAAATACCAAACTCAGATAATGTAAAGGTTCTGACAATGTACACTAACAGTACTTCATCAATATAAAGACATCTCTCATCTTATTTTTAAAAATAATAGACAGCCTAGAACTTAGCACATCATATATTTTTATTAGCACATTATATATTTTTTAAATGACTAAAAACCTAATTAGACAACCTAAAATAAAAATGTAAAAGATTTGTGACAGTTAGGAATTTAAATATAAGACTGCTTTCAAAGTTATATCAGCATTGTCCCCATAGCACAGGATTTTACCTTTGATTTTCCCATATTTTGTACAAGTCTGAAATGACTAAGGAATTTTATGAACGTTAAATTAGAACATTCTGATTATAAGATTATTAATTAAAAATTATCTTTTCACTATCCTTCATGTCTTATGCTTTCCAAGTTTTAAGTAGGTAGCTATATTTTTACTTGCATTTTCCCCCAGCATGCATTTTTGCCATAAGAAATATTTAAAACACTCTCTACTTGAGACTATATTATCTAAAGTTTCCTAAATTTTCTTTTCAGGGTGAAGGGTAGGCTGTCATTTGATAATTCCATTTTCTATTTTTTGCTGCTTTGAGGTAAGTCATTGTATTCAATCCTACAGAAAACTTTTCAGCACATCTCCAAAAAGGGATTTTTAAAGTAAAGAGTTCTAAGGTAAAAGAAGTTAAAATAACAAAGAGTTAGAAAACTGCCTACAACTTAAACACTTTTTAAGTGTTTAAATAAACTTTTTAGCATGTAATGCCTTTACAAAAATGGGGAAAAAATGGGAACAGTCAGCAACAGTAAATGAGACATTATGTAAAACATACAAAATAATATACCTCTCTCTTATTTCTTCTTGCAACCTTGAGGAATTCCATAAGGATCTGTAGTTGGGCTGCATGTGATTCCTATAATAGAAAATTATAATTGTTCTTTTAAAAATATAACTACGAGTTCAAAGTTTTCTTTAACACCACAGTATAACCAGTATGAAGCAAATTAATGCATCCATTTAGCCTATTACTACTATTTAATCAGTTTTCCTATTTACTAACTGGCATTTTTAAAATCAAACTATTTTCAGGGTGCCTGGGTGGTTCAGTTGGTTAAGACTCTGTGTTTTGCTCAGGTCATGATCCCGGGGTCCTGGGATTGATCCCGGGGTCCTGGGATGGATCCCGGCATCAGGCTCTCTGCTCAGTGGGGAGTCTGCTTCTCCTTCTGCCCCCTCCCCCATGTGAGCTCTCCCTCTCTCTTTCTCTCTGAAATAAACAAAATCTTTAAGGAACAAAAGAAAACTAGCCATTTTCCCCAAAACTAAAACTAATTTTAAGAAATATAGCCATATGGGGTTTCCATGTCATGCTTTCCTTTCTCTTTCCTTCCTTTAAAATATTCTATCACTATTTTTGGCCATCTTATTTACTTTCTGTCTTAGTGCAGACCTCTTCGGGTTGGTTTTGTTGGGGGCTCTCTGTGCCTCCTGAATCTGGATTTCTCTTTCCTTCCCCAGATTCAGTTAAGTTTTAGCTATTATTTCTTCAGACAAATCTTCTGCCCCCTTTTCTCATTCTTCTCCTTCTGGGATACCTATCAAGTGACTGTTATGCTTGACAGTCTCTCTGACTTCCCTGGGTCTATTCTCATTTTGTGTATTTTTTTTTCCCCTCTCATCTGCTCAGCTTGATTACTTTCCATTATACTGTCCTCCAGGTGGCTGATCTGTTCCTCTACTTCCTATTGGTTGCTATTTATTCCAGGTGGTCTATTTTTATTTACATTTAATGAGTCCAATAGCTCTAACTCGTTCTTTCTTGTGTCTCCCATCTCTTGTTGGAGGATCTCATGGAGGTTCTGCACTCCTTTCTCAATTCTAGAGAGTATCTTTATGCACATTAAATTTTCTATCAGACATATTACTTATCTCCATTTTGTTTAGGTCTCTTGCTCTGATTTTGTTCCGCTCTTTCATTTAGGACATATTCCTCTTTCCTCACTTTGTCCATTGTTGTGTCTATGTGTTAGGAAAGTCAGCTACGCCTCCCGCACTTAAAAGTAGTGGCTTTATGAAGAAGAGGTCCTGCAGTGCAATGTCTCTTTTTCACCAGAAAATAGTGCTTCGGGATGTCTTCTATGTGTGTTGCTACAGGGGTGCCCTTTCATTGCGGTTGGGCTGTATTTGCCTTCACTCCAGCCTGCAATGGCTCTCTGCCTGTTGTGGGCAGAGTCTGGTGTGCCTGTGGTGTTAGTGGGCTGGTCCAGGATGGCCTTGGGCTTGAGCTGAGTCAGCGCAGGTATCTGCCAGAGATGAAGAAGCGCCAAACTGCAGGCACTTTCCCTCTGTTGTCCCGAGAAGCTTTTGTTTGTGGGCAGGGCCTGCAGTCAGACCAGCTGCCTGCCCTCAGCCCACTGCTGGGGTCACAGTCAGACTGGTGTGCAGTTATCTTCCCCTCTCCCTGGAGCAGGACTTACTTTGCTGTGATACTGACCCTTGTCTGGGCTGTGCCCACACTGCCAGGCTTGTGGCCTTGCTTTAATGGGATCCTGCCAAGAGTAATCAGAGACAATGGATCTGCTTCGTTGTGGCCTCTTATCTCTATAGGGCTGCAGAGTGTGTTCTGCCAGTTTTCGGGTTGCTTTCTGGGTTATTTATGCCGATGTAGGTGTTCTCTAGGTGGCCACACGGGAACAGGTGAACCCAGGATCCTCCTACTGTGCCATCTTTCCAGCAGCCCGACAAAATTGTATTTTCAATAAACCCCTATCAGTATATAGAAATAAACTATAGGAAAAAATATAGCACAAAGGCCGGGAGAGGGGAAATGAAGTATGTTACTGTAAGATTCCTGTAAATATAGATAGATGAAGGATATGACTTGAAGGCACAATGTAACGACAATTGTATTAAAGACCCAAAAGTGGGTCCCTGGGTGGCTCAGTCAGTTGAGCATCAGCCTTCAGGTCAGGTTGTAATCTCATGGTCCTGAGAGAGAGTTCCACATCAGGCTCCCTGCTCAGCAGGAAATCTGCTTCTCTCTCTGCTCTTCCACCCACCCCCTCATATTCTCTCTTTCTCAAATAAATAAAATCTAAAAACAAAACAAAAAACGAAAAACAAAAGGAACCACTAAAAAACAAAACAGAAACTTACCATGATAAACCCACAAAGCAAATAAAATGAATTCAAGAAAAATACCCAATCTAAAATCATATAAATCATGTTGTCTGACAACGCAATTCAACTAAAATTCAGTTACCAAAATATCTATTTGGAAAAGTAGCAACATCCAACACACACACACACACACATAATACACACACACACACACACACACACACACATACACACACACACACACACACACACACACACATCAGACTACTATCAGACTGGCAATAACTAAAAATGAGAAAATACCAGGTGTTCATATAGTACAAAAGAGCAACCTGGCAATATCTGATATGTTAAAATGTGCATGTGAATTCTATAAACAGTAATTTCATTCCTTAAAACACTAAGTGTATATACATGAGCACAAGGAAACATGTATAACAATATTAAATGTAATAATGACACTCACAGCTAAGAATTAGGAAGAACGTAAATATCTACCATAGGGGAACAGATATGTTCATGCAATGGGTTACCATTAATAAGTTAATATGAACTAGATCTATATTTACCAACATAAACCTCAAAAAGTAAACAAAGAGGCATATGTCAAAAGGATAACTATAATATGAAACTTTTTATATAAACTTCTTTTAATTTTTTTTATTATTTATTTATTTTTGAAAGAGAGAGAGAGAAAGAGAGAGAGAGTACATGAGCACACACAGGAGCATGCCAGCGGCAAAGGGAGAGGGAGAGAATCCCAAGCAGGGTCCATGCCCAGCTCAGAGCCCAATTTACTTCACAAAGATTTATTTCTTTAAGAGAGAGAGCACACGTGTGAACATGGGGAAGGGGGGCTGAGGAAGAGAATTGTGGTAATCACTGCACAATACATGTATGTCAAGTCATTATGCTGTATAGCTTAAGCTTATGCAGTGCTATATGTCAATTATACCTAAGTAAAACTAAAATAAATAAATTAATTAAAGATAAAGGCCCGTTTCCCAAAAAATATGGGAGAAATTTCCACCAGCCCTGCCCACCCTCCCACCTAGAATGGGAGAATCATTTTGGTAAGCACAACCTAAGCTACTTCCTTCTTCTACTAAGATTCCTATTCAATCAAGTGGAATCCAGATCTAAATTATATTAGTAATCCACCCACAGAATTTTGAAATTGTAAAGGAAAGTCCCTTTTCTTCTATCAAAAAATAAATAAATATAGATGAAGAAAGTGCAAATGATCACATTATGTTATAAATACCTAAGAAAAGAAAATCAGACCTGTCCCAAAGAAACAGACATGAGAAGCACCAAAGAATGATCCAACATTCAATGCCTGATCTTATTTCCTTATAGTCTCCAGAAAAGCTGGCTATGGCTCCATATGGTTTAATAACCATATGGTTTAATGGTTGTTAAACACTTCCTTTTCACATATGTCAGCTACTCACTCCCTTACCCTGTCAGTAGATTCCCACTTTTGTTTCAGCTAGGTCAGGGGGATACCGACTTAGGCTGAGGTGTAAATTGCTCCAACGGATCATATTCAATTCCTAATACATGCAAATTCACATTTTATATTATTTATAAACATTTTACATTGTTTATACTTTATATCACTTATATTTATTTACATGAAATAAACACAATTTTACATTTATTATTTTATTACATGAAACAGGATATATTTAGTTACAGTTCCTATCTTTCTAAACGCCTTTATTTAAGCCATACACTACAGCTGCCACGAACAAACACCTGCTAAAAGGATTTTATGTAGGTAAAAATAATCTCTATTTTATCTTCCAAATCTCGTATGTGAATAAGGGAAGATCTAGCAAGGAATATATTCATTAGAAGACAAATGACCAATATAACTGTTCCCTATTAAAATGAAACTGTAGGGGCACCTGGGTGGCTCAGTGGGTTAAGCCTCTGCCTTTGGCTCGGGTCATGATTCCAGGGTCCTGGGATCGAGCCCCACATCAGGCTCTCTGCTCTGCGGGGAGCCTGCTTCCTCCTCTCTCTCTCTCTGCCTGCCTCTCTGCCTACTTGTGAGCTCTGTCTGTCAAATAAATAAAATCTTTGAAAAAAAAAAATAAGATAAAATAAAATGAAACTGTAGGGGTGCCCGGGTGGCTCAATGGGTTCAGCCTCTGCCTGCGACTGAGCCCCACATCGGACTCTCTGCTCAGCAGGGAGCCTGCTTCCTCCTCTCCCTCTGCCTGCCTCTCTGCCTACTTGTGATCTCTCTCTCTGTCAAATAAATAAATGAAACCTAAAAAAAAAAAAATTTGTTTTAATAAAATAAAATGAAATTGTATTTTGTCATGATCTTTCTTATCACTCAGTTGTTCTGAATATAAATGAGCCACCACAACTTATAAGAAATCTGTCTTTTACTTGAAAGGGGGGACTGTTAGAAGTGATACCTTGTGCATGCTCTTTCTTACTGAATAAAATTGGACGGACTGAGTGACAGATACTATCCTACTATTTTTAAACATTTCTAGATCTTTTTCAATGCAATAAAGACCACCACTTAAAATTTTTTAAAGTTCAACTGCCAACTGAGGGTTTTAGAGGGGACGGGGGTTTGGGGGAGGGGGTGAGCCTGGTGGTGGGTATTAAGGAGGGCATATATTGCATGGAGCACTGGATGTTATACATAACAATGAATCTTGGAATACTGCATTACGAACTAATGATGTGTTTTATGGTGAATAATATAACACAATAAAAAATAAATAAATAAATAAAATAAAGTTCAACTGCCACTTACCGCTTCCAGTTGTTTCTTCTTCTGCACTAGTAATTCCAACATGAGGTTGACATTGGCCAAATCAAGGTTATCTTGATCAGTTCCCAACAAATCCTGAAATATTTGCCACCTGTGGCCATTCTGAAAACGAAGAAACATAGTAACTTCCTAAGAAGACTGTTTTAGAGACCCTAAAATGTTTAACTGCTACTTCCTAATTATGTTTATTACATAGATATCAAAAATATACTATAATATTCTGACCTACTCCTTCCTAGCCAATAGTTCCCCATTGCCTTCTAATTATAATTAAACACTATTTCTCTCTTAAATCAATCTGGGTAACAGATACAGAAGGCATATTCAAAACAAATGTTAAGTGAGCATGTCTAAAGGTGTAAACTCCCTTCAAAATAAGTGCTTGGATTTTAATTATTTGTCTAGCCATATTTTCAACTTTGTACTTGGTAAGGTACTAATTTAGGCTCACTTCCCTCAATAATTTAGGACTGATTCTCTTAAATTGAGAATCTTCCAAAAGTTTTTCCAAATTACCAACCGTAGTTGCACCCTGCCATATAATCTTCCAAATGTCATGTACTACAAGACAATTCTGACTCAATGTGATTCCAGAAGACCGTTCAAAAGATGATCATTAAATTTTACACAATGCAGATAACAAAAGTTCTTTATTATACAAAATAATCTTAAACAAATTTTCTTCTTAAAGAAAATCAATGACATACTAAGCTCTAATATTAATTAATATTAACCCAATAAAAACAAATTGAAATTTATTAAAAAGTAGTAATAAGAGTTGAAACATACGGTGCTACTCACTGAGTGGTCCAATTTGAACCTCTTTTCCTCAAATCTTTGCTTCTGTTTGAGAATGAGCTCATTCACTGAAAAGAGAAACAAAACAAAAAGCACATATAATTTGTATTGTTGTTAAATGATCATCCAATTGTTCTGTTTAAATGGGTTCTATTTTCACTTTTAAAAGCCCCCAAATTAGAAAAATGCTAAGCAGAAAATGCTAGGCTTTCACTTTATTTCAAATTAGAAAACAATTTTCCACAGATTCTAATGCTACAACTGCTGTTATTACTACCACTATTATTAAAGGAGAATTCTCTGGAATATGTACTTTCTCGTACACATCTCAATTATGATACTGTAGGCACCTGGGGGAGACAATTCCTCACTGTGCTGGTCTGCTGCGTCCTCCACATGGTACCTGGTTGATTCTCTAAGGTAGTCACTAGAGATTCTTATTTGTTCTTCTTTTTGTTACTTTCCTATAAATACCATGGCAGATAATGTCAGTTACCTATCCAAAACCATCCCACCCACCCCCTTTTTAAAAAAAAAAAACAAAACATAATTTTTTTCTAAGCCACATGCTTTCAGAAAAGCTAGGTTTCACCCCAGCCCAACATCATGATTCTTGACTAACTTAAGCCAATCTTAGCATTCATACCCTTGCAATAACTGACATGGGATTAAGTACGTGACCCAGTTTTAATCAATGAAGGGTATGCTGTCTTTCAGAAAGAAATGGATAGGAAGAAAAGAAGTTCTTTCCCTCCCTTCTTTAAGAGATGATGCTGGAACTACTCAGAGCCATCCTACAATCTTAGAGTAGCTAGTCAAAGAACCAATACATGCTAGGATGGAGGAACAAAAAGATGTGAAGAACTTAATCATATCCCTGAACCACTGAATTTCCAATTCTACAAATCCTTTTTTTCTATCTTTAAGGATGAACTGATAACATCAAACAAACAATAACAAAAAAAAAGTCTGATAAAGAGTAAGAAACTAGGGGCTCCTGGGTGGCTCAGTTGGTTAAACGTCTGCCTTCAGCTCAGGTCATGAATGCCGGATCCTGGGATGGAGCCCTGCATTAGGCTCCCTGCTCAGCAGAGGGTCTGCTTCTCCCCCTCCCACTGCTACTCCCCCTGCTTATACTATCAAATAAATAAATAAAATACTAAAAAAAAAAAAAAAAAAAAAAAAAGAAAGAAAGAAAGAAAGAAAAAGAAAAAAAACTAGCACTAAATCAGTTTAGCCCTAGGCTAGTACTTTATAGATATGATCCTATGGGTTATTCTCCCCATTTTAGAGATGAGGAAATATTACAGGGAGCATCAAGAACTTACTCATGGTGACACAGAGTACAAAACCGAGTTGGGATACAAATCCAACTATCTAATATTTTCCACTATACCACAATCCAACTATAAATATTTCCAAACAAACCGGAGAAGTATCAAGCCCATACTAAGAATCCAAGCTTCAAAGATAAGTAAGACTCAATCTAAGTAAGATGCAATCTAAGACTTGAGCAACTCTGAGTAGGAAGACAAATATATATGACACAGTATGTATAACATAATGTGATAGTACTATCACTGAAGCACACTTACAAAGAACACAGGACAAGGAACAATCATGTGTAAATAGGCAGGCTACACACAGAAGGTGACATTAGAATTGGGCCATAACATCCACACAGAGATTCATTAAGCAGAAAAAGAAGTGGAAAAGAATTAAGAGAAGGGTGTGAGAAAGAAGGGGTTAAAGTCATACAAGACCAGGAGATAAGATTGACTTTAAATCAATATGGCTGAAACACGAGATCAAAGTGATTTTGTTAATGATTGATAGGTTATGAACTAAGGCTGGAATTGAAGATAGATGGGAACCTGATTCTGAAGAGCCTGGTATGTATCTCACAAGCAAAATTACCATTCTAACCCAGGAAAGAGAAAGGAGAGCTCGAACTAATGTAGTGGGAATAAAGAGAAGCTCATAAATAAGAGATCAATGTTTCAGTTACAGAATTAAACATTTGAATAAAAATTGGGACTTCAACTTTAATACTTTACATGTGTATACCAAATTGCATTTTCCTGAGAAAGCTCACATATCACTGAATTTGAAGGATATTCTATATCCATAATTTTAAGTGTCTGGACCCTTGAAATGGCCACAGTACTAAGAAGAAACAATGCATTTCTACTGCTAAAGCTTCCATTCTAGTAACTATATTTTTAGAAGCAGAAGAGTAGTTAAAGCATATATGCTTGTGGAACAGATGGCTTAGGACCAAATCCCAATTCCACCAATACTATTGTAAAAGTTTATAAAAGTAACCGAACTTCTCTGTACCTTAGTTTCCTCACCCAAAGGAGGATGTTGATGACAAGAGTACTTATCTCATAGGACTGAAAATTAAATGAGTTAGCTTACACAAAGCACTTAGGACACTACCTGGCAGTAGTAAGGATGTTCTATACTTTTTTTTTTTAACAGTTATTTTAAACTTAGCATTCACATTGTCCCTTCAAAGAATAATAATGTTATTCAGAAAGGTGATAAAATTCAATTTATAAATTTTACACATAGACAGAGAAAGCTAGAAAAGAGACTGAGCAAGGGAGAGAGATGGGGGCAGGTAGCTGGAGAGAGGGATAGGGAGAGCTAGAGAGCAAGTCTTGGCAGGAGCAGAGGAGAGCAACTGCAGGAATTGGGGGGAGGTGGGCGAGATGGGAACAGGGACAGGAACACTTCACCTTGCAAGAACCTTCTAGTAACAAGAACAAGCAGGATGGAAAGAATAGTGAATGTATCGGAAGAGCGAGGGTATAAAGGGTTAATGAAATAGAATATAGTGGAAGCTAGAAGAGCTGGAGGAAGGAAAGTCAGTAGAAAAAGGGTCTGTGGTATAGTGTTTAGGGCAGGAAAGGAAAAATCAAAGTACTCATCTTAACAAAAAAAGTAAATGATTATAAATGACCAAAAAATCAAATCTCTGAGTGTTTGGCTTCTAATTCTTTGCTTTCATTAAAATTAAAGAAAGGACTTGACTTGTTAACTAACTGAGCATTAAAACTGTTTTTGATGATAAATCAATAAATGCTTTTTTTCGGATGCCTGGGTGGCTCAGTCAGTTGAGCAGCTGCCTTCGGCTCAGGTCATGATCTTAGGGTCCTGTGATCAAGTCCCACATCGGGCCCCTTGCTTGGCAGAGAGCCTGCTTCTCTCTCTCCCTCTGCCTGCCACTCTGCCTGCTTGTGCTCTCTCTCTCTCTCTCTCTCAAATGAATAAATAAAATCTGATTAATTTAAAAATGCTTTTTATCTTAATTTCTTACGTGAGAACAAAGTCAAAAAAATGAGCAACATTGTTAACAAAATTCCTTCAAGCTCCATCACCTTATTCATGTAAGCAAAGCTTCTTAAAACTTACACTTTAAAAAGAAAAATCTTAAAATTACATAATTTATAGATCAATAATATCTCAATTTTTAAAAAACTATGATGATCCTAAATAAATGAACAAACGAATAATAAAAAGAATACAAATGGAACTCATTCCTCGTCCTAGTAATAACTACTAAGGATACCAGAACTGAGAAAAGCACCAAACGTTATTAAGCAGCATGTTTTCAATAAATATTTATGCCTAATACTTTATAAAATTCGTGAATATATGTTTGACCAATTACATACTAATAATTCAATAATAATCCAGAAAAAATATTTGAGATTTTTAAATTATGTTCAAAAAAATTTTTATGTCTATAGTTTCTATTTATATACATTTCTGTTACAGAAAAGCACTACAGATAGATCGACAGATTTCAAACATGAAAATACATCATATAAGGATAAAATTATGTGGATGATAATCGATTTAAGTAGAAGTTCAAAGAGAAAAGGAATAAATAAAATATCCCATTGTTAATGAAAGGTGTCTATTTTCAAATTGATGATAAATATCAAACCACTATGATATTTCACTGGATACATTTTCAAAAAAGATAAAAGCTTTATTTTTAAATAATTAATTTATAACACTCCTAAAGTTACATCATTTACTACCACTTAAAGTTATAAAGAAAACTTGAGGATGATAATTTTAAATGGGGTTCAATACGTGAGGAAGAACATTTTCAGAATTTTTATGAGTCACCCAAGCAAAAAAGTTTTGAAGACCACTGTTAAAGAAAATGTATAGCTCAGCCCTTTATCCATGACTCAGGTAAACGTACAGTATTAAAAGGGAAGGGTCCTGGGATGCCTGGGTGGCTCAGTTGGTTAAACATCTGACTTTAAGCTCAGGTCATGATCCCAGGGTCCTGGGATCAAGTCCTGCTTCAGACTCCCTCTGCCTGCCATTCTGCCCACTTGTGCTCTCTCCCTCTCTCTCTCTGACAAATAAATGAAATAGTTAAATAAATAAATAAATAAATGGGAAGGGTCCTAACCTATTGACAAAAAAAAGTGCAAGGCTACTTAGTAGCCTTCAAAATTGTAAAACATACACTTATTTTACCATGCTCAAGAAGAAATCTGAAATTACTTCAAAAGGTTCAAGGTGCTGGGGCGCCTGGGTGGCTCAGAGGGTTAAGCCTCTGCCTTCGGCTCAGGTCATGATCTCAGGGTCTTGGGATCGAGCCCCGCATCGGGCTCTCTGCTCAGCAGGGAGCCTGCTTCCTCCTCTCTCTCTGTCTACTTGTGATCTCTGTATGTCAAATAAATAAATAAAATCTTTAAAAAAAAAAAAAAAAGGTTCAAGGTCCTCAACCCAACCAAGAATCACAGACGCTATACAAATAAATCACGGAAACTCAAGCTAAAGCAATGGAAATAAATAACTCAGAAGGGTTTTTTCAGTAAAGGAAAAAACAAGATGGAATTCCACATTCAGAAATAGATCTCAAGGGGCACCTGGGTGGCTCAGTGGTTAAGCATCTGCCTTCAGCTCAGGTCATGATTCCAGGGTCCCAGGATCAAGGCCCCCATTGGGCGCCCTGCTCTGCAGGAAGCGTGCTTCTCCTTCTCCCACTCCCCTTGCTTGTGTTCCCTCTCTCACTCTCTCTCTCTCTGTCAAATAATTAATAAAAATCTTTAAAAAGTGTTAAAAAATAAATAAAAGAAATAGATCTCAATGGCACCCTGAATGCATAGGATCCCTGTCTACCTAATGTGGGAAGCTATGAATTTGAATATTTTTTTTTAAAGATTTTATTTACTTTACAGAGAGAGACACAGTGAGAGAGGGAACACAAGCAGGCGGAGAGGGGGAGAGAGAAGCAGCCTCCCCACTGAGCAGGGAGCCCAAAGTGGGGCTCAATGCCGGGACTCGGGATCATGACCCGAGCCAAAGGCAGACACTTAACTGAGCCACCCAGGCATCCTGAATTTGAATATTATTGTACAAGTAAAGAGGGGAAGGATGATGGGAAGAAAAACAGAAAAAGATATATCAGGATAAAATGTTATTTCCAAGGCTGACATTCATAATCACATTACAAGCTGCCCTATAATTAAAAGACTTCAAATATGGACATAAAATACTTACACTCCAATTACCCAAAACAAAAATTTAGTATCCATAAAAAGAAAAGGTTAAAAATTAGATCATCACCCAGATAATTTCCAGCTCAGAAAATCAGTTAAGTGTGACTTCACTATTCACCGGATATATGTGAGAATATATACTTAATGTATATCACTTTCTGACTAAAATAGTACTATGCTTTGAAAGTCCTTCCATACTGGTATATAGTGCTCCCTCTAGTTAGAAATCCACATAAAAGGGGCGCCTGGGTGGCTCAGTGGGTTAAAGCCACTGCCTTCGGCTCGGGTCATGATCCCAGGGTCCTGGGATCAAGCCCCGCATCAGGCTCTCTGCTCAGCAGGGAGCCTGCTTCCTCCTCTCTCTCTGCCTGCCTCTCTGCCTACTTGTGATCTCTGTCTGTCAAATAAATAAATAAAATCTTAAAAAAAAAAAAAAAAAAAAAAAGAAATCCACATAAAAGAATCTCCAGCTTTTGGACTCATTAAAAAATGTTGCCTGAAAGTTTTAGTAAACACCAAAATTGTCGGAAGATCAGATTCCTTTCTGTATTTAACCATTCCAAAAGAAGTTTTCTGAAGTTATGACAACTGATAGAAAAGATTCTAGAGGGGCGCCTGGGTGGCTCAGTGGGTTAAAGCCTCTGCCTTCGGCTCAGGTCGTGATCCCAGGGTCCTGGGATCGAGCCCCGCATCAGGCTCTCTGCTCAGTGGGGAGCCTGCTTCCTTTACTCTCTCTGCTTGCCTCTCTGCCTACTTGTGATCTCTGTCTGTCAAATAAATAAATAAAATCTTAAAAAAAAAAAAAAAGAAAAGAAAAGATTCTAGAGCCCACACAGCAGCAACAATCCATGTTTCTGAGCTCAGGGACACAAGGTTTTACTTCGCAGGACTTTGATTTCCCTTCTACCCAATCTAGCCCATTAAGTCCAGTCCTGCAGAGTATCACGCCACTCAATGTTTCTTCTTTTCCTAAGTTCCTTCTCCAAGTTTTTACTTTTCAATTGCCTCCCCAGGTCACAGGCTCTCGTCCCCTATCCAGAAATCCAATTACCCAAGTTTCTCCCTACCTTTTCCCTCTCTCCATTAACACTTTCTTCCCCTGACCCTTACTTCCACCCCAGAAGCACAACCAGCAGGAATGTACCACATTGTATAAAGAGACAGGTATTCTGGACCTCTGGCATCCCCTTTAACCTCACGTTCTGTCCCACCATCTATATAAGAAACTAAGGGTTCTGTAAACTTAACAACAATATCATATAGTACTAACAACACATGGTATGGAAAATACATCACAAAATAATGAAGACTGGGGAAAACACCCAGGTGGATAGAAGAGAAAGACTTGCTTTACCCCTATACTATGTTTTCTGAATAAATTTCTGCCAGCATACACTCTTGGGGATAGAATATTTTAAATAATAAAGAATCATTCCAAAGACTCACCCAAGAAATTAGGATACAGATGGTCAATATTATCCACAACATAGTTACACTTGGGACATCTATTATTATCCTCCAAACTCTGATGAATACACTTGTAGCTATTAGCAGGAAAAAAATAAAATAGGGTTCATTAAATCAGTAAAGGATTAATAAACTGGTCATAAAATAATGCCTATAAAGTCTTCTATTTCTCATTTAAAACAAGTAATTTGTTATCAAATTTATTTCAGCTTATATTTTATTATAATAAAATACAGAGCATTTATTAGGTAACAGTATACAAAAGTTAATGTTTAAAAATGAACTTGAGTAACAAGTCTACTGGATATAGAATGTTAAAAAAAAGTATTAACTTTTAAGTTTATGCAATTTAAATACTACATAACAACACCCAAGAAAAGCAAATGCCTATGATTTAGTTAAGCAAATGGACTATTCATGTTCTTAGAGTGCTGATATCCTTAATACAAAAAGAGCACACTCAAATAAAAAAAGAGAAAAACAGAAAGATCAACAAGAAAAGCATTAGTCAATAAGAATGAGAAAATCACCACCTTCAGTAATATTAAAAAAATTGATTTTAAATCATATACTATTTTTTACTAAACAGAATGGAAAATTAAAGAAAATACTATCAGAGTTAAGGAGCACATGCGAACCTCACGTACTGTTGAAGGAAATGCAACTGCCACAACATTTCCAGAAGGCAAGTTGTATGGAAAACCTTAAGGTTGTGTATCCCCTTTGATGTAATGATTTTATTTCTAGGAATTTACCCTAAGGAAATGAGCAGAGGTATATACATAGAAAGGTGCTCAATTCAAGATTATCTGTAAATAGCAAAATAAATTAGAAGCAACTAATACACTACAAAATTGACTAAATAATTTGGTAAACATCAATCCAAAAAATACCCAAAAAAATCACATTACAATACGTAACTATATGCCATGAAAAATAATAATTCTTAGTGGTTATAGTTAAAGAAAGAGGATTACAAGAAATGTTTCCTTCCTCACAATATATATTTCTGTAATATTTGATGTTTTGCAATTATGTATCGTCTTTTAATAAAAAAATCTTTTAAATATTGTTTCACTAGAGAGGCCTGGGTGGCTCAGTCGGTTGGGCGTCTGCCTTCGGCTCAGGTCATGATCTCCACAACCTGGAATGGGAGCCCAACGCATGGACTCCATTGTCCCTCTGCCCCTCCCCCACCCACCACTACCACCATCATCCTTCCCCCTCCACCCCCACTCATGCTCTGTCTCTCCCCCAAATAAAAAAAAAAAAACAAACTATATATATATATATATAAATTAACAAAACTATATATATATTCATCATAATGTTTACAGTATATGTCCCTGGGCCATAAAATTACAGGAAACTTTTTCTTTTTAGATGTCTACAAGTTTTGGGTGCCTGAGTGGCTCAGTTGGTTAAGCAACTGCCTTCGGCTCAGGTCATGATCCTGAAGTCCCAGAATCAAGTCCCACATCTGGCTTCCTACTCAGCAGGCGGTCAGATTCTCCCTCTGACCTCTCCCCTCTCACACTCTCTCTCTCACTCTCTCTCTCAAATAAGTAAATAAATTAAAAAAATCTCTTTAAAAAAAAAAAAAAGATGCCCACAAGTTTTTATAGCAAAAAGGCACTACTCCTAAAAATCAGAAAAAAAATTATTTCAAAGAAATCACAAGGGTGCTTTATAAAAAAGATTCCTAAAGAGACAGCACCGCTTTTATTCTGTATCCAAATTACTATAAATTTACTTCAGCTTTGGAAGTTGAAGCTAATTTTTATAACCCACTTACTTCACTCTATCTTATCAAAACAGAAACCTACAACCATCAGGTTTCTCTGATTTCTCTCATTAACAACTACTTTCCCTTCTCACATTTGGTACTTTCAAGGTAAGTTAAAATAAAAACGACATCACAGAGAACTGCAGTGATGGTCTTTGGCACAGCACAAGGACCTGACCATCAGAGTCAACGGCTGCCACAAAACAGGTCCTCAGATACATCCACAAACAAATGACCAGCTGCCTGGGGCTCAGTAGGTTCAGCCTCTGCCTTCGGCTCAGGTCATGATCCCAGGGTCAGATTGAGCCCCACATCGGGCTCTCTGCTCAGTGGGGAGCCTGCTTCCCCCTCTCTCTCTGCCTGCCTCTCCGTCTACTTGTGATCTCGGTCAAATAAATAAATAAAATCTTAAAAAAAAAAAAAAAAAAAAAACTTTGTGGTATTTAAAACTAAACAAAACAAATGACTTATACAGTGTTCCAGAAATAATAACATCACCTCTTGCAACTATGACAAGGCTAGGATTGCCATATTACCACGATAGGTTCTATATCTAACAGAAAATCTCCTACGTAGAAATTTCAGTGAAGGAAAAAATATACAAATTGTTTTCGTTTTCATTTTTATTGCAAGGGAAAAGCATAAAGCAGTTATGCAATTAAAACATGGAAACACTTATAATCTGCTAGGGAAAATGGAAATGAGTTCATATTACCAGAAAATATCCCCAAAGAACAAGATTTAACCCTTTAAAAAAATCTGCAAGTTCAAATAAACCAAGTGATGAAGCAGAAAATCTGGGAAGGTTATTATTAAAGATGAGAGAAGCAGTTGACAGATAACCAGAAGGGCATTCTGGGTTTTAGCAAATGCCTTTTGTAAAGAAATGATAGTTAGAAATGAGCCAATAATGTAAGAAGAACAAGCTAAGTTGTTACCCCAGAGAAAGAGACTGTCACTATACAAGGAATTATCCCAGAGTCCAACAGAGTATCCTTCTCTCCTACCTTCAGCAACCTAATCACATCCCTTGTCAGTAGGTTTACTACCACACCATCCTCCTAGAAGAAAAAAATAGTCGAGGATGCAGGAAGAAGGAACTGTCCTCAGGAACAAAAGTTCAAGTGACTTTTCCCCATTGCATTGGTAATATCCATCTATACTACAAAATGAAAATGCATCAACTTACATACCACTGTATAAAACTGACATGACAAGATGCATCAAGTTTATCTTTTTTTTTTTTAAAGATTTTTTATTTATTTGACAAAGATCACAAGTAGGCAGAGAGGCAGGCAGAGAGAGAGAGGAGGAAGCAGGCTCCCCACTGAGCAGAGAGCCCAATGCGGGGCTCGATCCCAGGACTCTGGGATCATGACCTGAGCCAAAGGCAGAGGCTTTAACCCACTGAGCCACCCAGGCGCCCCGCATCAAGTTTATCTTATAGCATCTACTACCTCACTAACACCCCGCGGCAGACCTTTCCTAGTTTGAGAAATAGTAACTATCTTATTTTGTACTTATCTGTGTATGTGTCTGTAATCCCTTCTTCTATTTGCTCATTCAAAACAAGGATTTGTTTTAATTCATCTCAGTAACCTCAATGTCTAGCACAATATCCTCTTAGAGTTGAACTAAATAAATGTTCAATGCATGAAAAAAATAGCTATAGACAAAAAAGAAACATGCTGTCCTCTGGGTCACAAAAAACACCACTAGAAATTCTCAATTATTCCTTTCACAATAACTCTACTTGACCATCACCATTCCAGATGTGGAATTTTGATTTCCAAAAGAAGGATAAGTGTCTAGACTAGTGATCAAGATGGGGGGATATAGGTATATATATCTTGGGTCTATCTGAGAAGTGGATATAGGGATATATATCTTGGGTCTATCTGAGAAGTTTTCAAAAGCTACTCACACTAAAACTCTTTAAAATAGTAATTCAGCACTAGAATGTGCAGACATAAATGGGTGCCTATGTTTATTAAGTGTATATCTGATAATGAAGAATGACTATTTTGAAATTTTGCCCTTTGCAACAACATGAATGGACCTCAAGGGTATTATACTAAGTGAAGTCAGAAAAAGACAAATACCATACAATTGCATTTATATGTGGAATCTACGAACAAAAGCAATGAACAATCAAACAAGCAGAAACAGATTCATACATACAAAGAACAAACTGGTGGTTGCCAGAATGGAGGAGGATGGGGACATGGGCAAAATAGGCAAAGGGGATTAACAGGGATAAACCTCCAATTATAAAATAAATAAGTCACACAGATGAAAAGAACTGCATAGGGAATATAATCAATAATATTATAACACTGTATGGTGACAGCTGGTAACTACACTTATGGTGGTGAGCACTGAGTAATGTACAGAATTGTCTAATTTCTATGTTGCACACCTGAAACTAATATAACAATTATGTCAACTATACTTCAGTAACTTTTTTAAAATGAGTATTTCTCCATAGATGTATGGTTATTCTGTTTCTTCCTCCCCAAAAAAAGTATAGTCCTACTGTAAGGTATAAATATCTTTTTCTTTTTCTTTCTTTTTTTAACTTTTAGGGCACTGCCTGTAATACACAGAACACCATACCACTTTAACCATCCAAAGACCTCTTTGAATGTTTTCTGAAATCCTCTATTCACCCACCCCCAATACACGAACTTTCTGTTTCTCCTCATTTTTCTATAAGTAATTGTAGACACTAGGGTAAATAAGACCTTATCATGAATACCTTTTTCTCTCTCTGTAAACAGGGGTGAGTACATAGAAAAAACTGTGAATAATCTGGGACGCCTGAGTGGCTCAGTTGGTTAAGCAGCTGCCTTCGGCTCAGGTCATGATCCCAGTGTCCTGGGATCGAGTCCCACATCGGGCTCCTTGCTCAGCAGAGAGCCTGCTTCTCCCTCTGCCTCTGCCTGCCATTCTGTCTGCCTGTGCTTGCTCTCTCTCCCTCTCTCTCTCTCTGACAAATAAATAAATAAAAAAAATCTTTAAAAAAAAAACAAAACTGTGAATAATCAGAAAATTCTCAAAAAAGAGGAGACTTTAAACAAGAACAGCAAAGACAAATCAGTACAGTAGTCCTATATAATACCGGGTATAAAGAAAGACTAACAGCAAGGTACAGGACAATTAATTAATCAAAAGCTCCAAAAGACAAGCTGATAACCAGGTTTGACCACAGATATGCTGGATGATGAACAACACTGAGGGATGCTATTAATTATAATTAATTTGTAATGAAACAAAATAGTAAATCAGAACTTGGTAGACATGAGGTCTGAGAAGAAGAGTGCAGGGGGCAAGCTGGAGGTGGCAAAGGAAAAAGCAAACCTTATCTCTAATATCACAAAGAAGCCAAATACAACAGCTAATAGCAGACTCACTGTCAAGTGGGAATAGCGTCTCCAACCTTATTCATAAGTAAGACTAGGGATAAACAGTTCATGTGGTCCAATTTGATTTGGTGTTAATAATTTGGACAGAGCCTGGAAATGCTAACACTGCTTAGCTCCAGATTACCAGCCAGCATTCAAGTTAGCGAAGATTTGATCCAAGAGGCTACCATTAATGACTGAAGTTCCAATGGCCTCACACGATAGGAGAGGGTAAATAATTATGAGCTTTTGCTGTAGACAAAAGTACAAAATGTCTCACAGTTTCACAAGCCTGACAATGGGACTGCCAGTCTCCAAGCTGACTAGCTCCTGACAACCTTATGGTCTCTATCCTACCAAAACCTGCTCTCTGGCAGGTATTTTAAAACACATTCATATTTTAAAACACACCAGGTTACAACAGCACTTGAATTATAACAAGGATCTAAACTTAAACTATTTTTATTTGAAAGGAAAAACAGATATTTAAGAAACTAGTGGGGTTTCCAACAATGAACTAACGAGACACCTTGAAGATTATGGGACTCATTGGAAAGGCCAAGGACTATTTAATTATAAAGTTAATCAGTAATTTATTACACTTCAGAACATAGCAAAGGAAGATTATTGTACTTATTTACCAGACTCTTCAGTGTCCTTTTAAAATGCCACAGTGACTATATAAGTTGAGGAGGGCAGTTAGGAAAATTCAAATCCTCATTTTATCATTTGTACCAAACATCCACACCTTCAGAACTATGAAAGAAGAGATGGTGAAGGAGTAGGAAGAGAAGGTAGAGATGGACAGCGGAAGAGATAGGTTGAGTGACTGGACAAATAAAAGGCAAGTTAAAGAGCTAGAACCAGAATCCTGGTTTACCAACTTCAAGACCCTGCTCTTTTAGCTCTATATCAGTATTTCTCAAATGTAGGCAATTTTGTCCCCTACTCAATATCTGACAATGTCTGGAGACATTTTTGGTTGTCACACTTGTGAGAAAAGGGACTGCTACTGGGTAGAGGCCAGGGATACTGCTAAACAATCTACAATACCAGGATAATCACCCACAACAGATATTATCTTGTTCAACAGTCAATACTTCCAAAGGCAGAGAAAGCCTAATCTATATCACCCAATTTTCCAGAGATGAAACTTAAAGTCTCCAAGGAAGGTATATGGTTTCCTATGGAATGCTTTGGTGCTAGATCAATTAATGGACCAAAGGAAACACTACTGTTAAACAATAAGCCTGAAAAGACCAAGACCATACATGTATCAATCTAAAAGCAAGACACACATGACCAGAACTTCCGTGGCAATAAGGAGCAGAAAGTTATTCATCAACCATAACAATGTCAATATAATGATACACCAGGAAATCTAAATTATTTAAGGCAAGATGGTCTTTTTTTTTTTTTTTTTTTTAAACCAGAAAAAAAAATTTGGAAAGAAACACCAACAATCCCTAACAAGAAAAACTCAAAAAAAGAAAAAAAAAAAAAAAAAAAAAAAAAAAAAGACTGTAAAAACAATGACATTTACATCTCAGGTTACTGGACAATAAAACTTGTTTTTAAAACAAGAATACATATTGCTTATTTTAATAACATATTTTAATAAAAAGCATAGTACAGGCCAAGAAAGTTATTTTTATTCTGAACTTCTTTTTAAATGACTGGTAGATTGGATATACCTATCACTGCTGCATCATGCTCCAAATCAAACTAAAATACTTACAAACTGGTAATAACACCCAGTATATCAACAGTGTAAATGATTTACAGACACGACTGACAGCAAACTGAATATACCACCCCCAATCAAAAATAAACAAAAGGAATTAAACAAACAGATTACATAACCATTAGGATGGCTACTATTTAAAAAAAAAGAGAAAATGACAAGTTTATGGAGGTTCCTCAAAAAATTAAACACAGAACTATCATATGATACAGCAATTCTGCTTCTGGGTATATATCCAAAAGAACTGAAACCAGTCTCTCAAGGAGATATTTAGACACCAATGTTCAAAGCACCATTCTTAACAACAGTTAAGAAGGCAACCCAAATGCCCATGAACAGATGAACAAATAAAACACGGTATACACACACAATGGAACACTATTCATCCTTAAAAAAGAAGGAAACTTTGACACATACTACAACAAGGATGAAACTTAAAGACATTATGCTAAGTGAATTAAGCCAGTCACAAAAATACAAATACTATTTAATGCTACTTATATGAGGTATCTAGAATAGTCAAATTCACAGAAACAAAGTAAAATAGTGATTGACAGAGGCTAGGGGGAAGAAAGAAATGGGAGAGTTGCTTAAAGTTTATAGTTTAAATTATATAGTTCAAAGTTTAAAACTTTAAAGTTTAAAGTATATAGTTTCAGTTTGTAAGATAAAAATTCTGGAGATTGTATAACAATGCAAACAAACAACATTACTCAACTTGAAAATGTTTAAGATGGTAAATGTTATGTTATGTGTATTTTACAACTAAAAATTTTTTAAACGTACAGATTAATGTGACATATATACAAGACTAAGCAACTAACAATAACACCGAGCAAAATGTTAAAGAAAACACAGATCTTTTTAATCCCCTATATCCTTTTCCAATGACTTTCTAACCTCCTTTACTGGGTCTCACACTTATCCCCACAAATGAGTTAAAGATGCTACATGCTCCATCCTGATTATGCAGTACCCCTCAATTTCCTAAAACAGTAATTAAAACTCTAAAATAATTAATCAACCCAAAAGTTTTAAAATCCACCTGTAAGGACAATGGTAAATGTAAGTATTCCACAGAAATTATGCACCAACCATAGGCTTTCTGCCTTGAGCTGCTGAACTTATAAAAATATATCAAAGAAGTTATAAGATAACCAAAATTATTTTAAAAACCTAACTTCTCACTGGCTGCACTTATACACGAGTTAAAAATCAAGACAATTTTGCTAAATAAAATCATCTTACCAAAAGCTGTGGCCACATTTCGTCATGTATGCTTCCTCAATCATATCAAAGCAGATAGGGCTAAAAAGAAAATAGAGAAGTCATTGATTTTTTTTTCAGTAGCGTGATTATAAATTGGCAAGGCTGGTAACAATATCAATGAAATCATTTATCAATACACAGCTAAGTTTTCAAACATTTATCAATAAGACAGAATTTCGGTAGAGATGAAGGTGCTTTAGGGGATTGGGGATAAAATGACAATTTGCTCAAGACAGCACTAAAAGTCATCAAGTTCTAAGATGAATTAAATGAGTAAATTAAAATGGCCCCAATGCTTTAACTCACCTATAACTTTTAATAATGCAATGCAGTCACAAGAGCCCTTAAAGTTCTACTGTCTTTTTCAACCATCCCTATACTCAAAAACACTTAATGCAAATGCTATTTTATTTCCTATCTAAAAAACCTAGTTCCTTGATTGACAAATTTACAATTCCAGTACCAATAACTCTACTATATAAAGAAGACAGTAAATTACAACTAATACTTAAAATAGTACAAATGGTATCCATTAAAATAATGACATATATTAACTCCTTTAATCTTTTCCACAACAAAGTGTTGATAGGTACATATTACCAGACTCATTTAATAGAGGGAAACTGAGGCACAAACATGTTAAAGTCATACATAGTTAGGAAGTAACACAACTGATTTTCAAATTTAGGTCCATGCTCTTAACCACCATTCTATACTAATTCCAGATATGGCAAGTTCAATACCAAGTCATACCAACATAGTTCTGGCCAACAAAAGGGAGTTAGTTATCAATCTCTGAGAGGCCACTATCCACCAGAAAAATACAAAGACTTAGAAAGAGATTTCCCTTTATCTTTCCTTCTGAAAACTCTGGTCTCCAGAGGTACAAAAGCCATCTCCTTTTTTTTTTTTTTTAAGATTTATTTACTTTAGAGAGAGGGGAAGAGAGAGAGAGGGAGAGAGTGAGCACACTCTTGAAGAATCAGGGGTAGGAGAGAATCCCAAAGCTGACTCCCTGCTGAGTGCGGAGCCTGATGTGGGACTTGATCCCAGGACCCTGAGATCACGGTCATGATCATGAGCAGAAATCAAGAATGGGCTGCTTATGATATGATACTATATGTGGAAAACCCAAAAGACTCCACTCCAAAACTGCTAGAACTTGCACAGGAATTCAGTAAAGTGTCACGATATAAAATCAATGCACAGAAGTCAGTTGCATTTCTTTACACCAACAACAAGACAGAAGAAAGAGAAATTAAGGAGTCAATCCCATTTACAACTGCACCCAAAACCATAAGATACCTAGAAATAAACCAAAGAGGCAAAAAAACCAAAGAGGCAAAGAATCTATACACAGAAAACTATAAAGCACTCATGAAAGAAAGTGAGGAAGACACAAAGAAATGGAAAAATGTTCATTGCTCCTGGATTGGAAGAACAAATATTGTGAAAATGTCTACGCTACCTAAAGCAATCTACACATTTAATGCAATCCCTATCAAAATCCCATCCATTTTTTTCAAAGAAATGGGACAATTAATCCTAAAATTTTTATGGAACCAGAAAAGACCTCAAATAGCCAAAGGAATATTGAAAAAGAAAGCCAGAGGTGGTGGCATCACAATTCCGGATTTCAAGCTCTATTACAAAGCTGTCATCATCAAGACAGTATGGTAGTGGCACAAAAACAGACACACAGATCAATGGAACAGAATAGAGAGCCCAGAAATAGACCCTCAACTCTACGATCAACTAATCTTCGCCAAAGCAGGAAAGAATGTCCAATGGAAAAAAGATAGCCTCTTCAACAAATGGTGTTGGGAAAATTGGACAGCCACATGCAGAAAAATGAAATTGGACCATTTCTTTCCTTACACCACACACGAAAATAGACTCAAAATGGATGAAGGACCTCAATGTGAGAAAGGAATCCATCAAAATCCTTGAGGAGACCACAGACAGAACCTCTTCGACCTCAGCCGCAGCAACTTCTTCCTAGGAACATCGCCAAAGGCAAGGGAAGCAAGGGCAAAAATGAACTATTGGGATTTCATCAAGATCAAAAGCTTTTGCACAGCAAAGGAAACAGTCAACAAAACCAAAGGACAACTGACAGAATGGGAAAAGATATTTGCAAACAACATATCAGATAAAGGGCTAGTATCCAAAATCTATAAAGAGCTTAGCAAACTCAACACCCAAAGAACAAATAATCCAATCAAGAAATGGGCAGAGGACATGAACAGACATTTTTGCAAAGAGGACATCAGATGGCCAACAGACACATGAAAAAATGCTCCACATCACTCGGCATCAGGGAAATACAAATCAAAACCACAATGAGATACCACCTCACACCAGTCAGAAAGGCTAAAATTAACAAGTCAGGAAATGACAGATGCTGGCGAGGATGCGGAGAAAGGGGAACCCTTCTACACTGTTGGTGGGAATGCAAGCTGGTGCAACTGCTCTGGAAAACAGCATGGAGGTTCCTCAAAAAGCTGAAAACAGAGCTACCCTATGACCCAGCAATTGCACTACTGGGTATTTACCCAGTATTTTACCCTAAAGATACAAACGTAGTGATAGGGTGCCTGAGTGGCTCAGTGGTTTAAGCCTCTGCCTTCGGCTCGGTTCATGATCTTGGGGTCCTGGGATCGAGTCCCGCATCGGGCTCTCTGCTCAGTGGGGAGCCTGCTTCCTCCTCTCTCTCTGCCTGCCTCTCTGCCTACCTGTGATCTCTGTCTGTCAAATAAATAAATAAAATCTTAAAAAAAAAAAAAAAGATACAAACGTAGTGATCCGAAGGGGCACATGCTCCCGAATGTTTACAGCAGCAATGTCCACAATAGTCAAACTATGGAAAGAACCTAGACGTCCATCAACAGATGAATGGATAAAGAAGATGTGGTATACACACACACACACACACACACACACACATACACACAAAGGAATACTATGCAGCCATCAAAAGAAATGAAATCTTGCCATTTGCGACGACGTGGATGGAACTAGAGGGTATCATGCTTAGCGAAATAAGTCAATTGGAGAAAGACAACTATCATATGATCTCCCTGATATGAGGAAGTGGAGATGCAACATGGGGGGTTTGGGGGGTAGGAAAAGAATAAATGAAACAAGATGGGATCGGGAGGGAGACAAACCATAAGAGACTCTTAATCTCAAAGAACAAACTGAGGGTTGCTGGGGGGAGGGGGGTCGGGAGAGGGTGGTGGGGTTATGGACATTGGGGGGGGGGGGGGGGCTGGGGGGAGTGCGGGGAAGGGTATAAACCTGGCGATTCACAGACCTGTACCCCTGGGAATAAAAATACATAGTATGTTTATAAAAAATAAAAATTAAAAAAAAAAAGAATGGGCTGCTTAACCAATTGAGCCACCCACACACCCCACAACAGCCATCTTCTGACCAAAAAGACAAAAAAAATATAAGCTAGGAAGATAGGATACTGGTTCCTTGATGACATCCATGGGCAGTTGCATCAGCTATGGACTGCCTACCCCTGGAATTCACATTACATGAGCAAAGTAAATTCTCACTTGTTTAAGGCAGTATTCATCAAGTTTTCTGTTACTGGCATACATATCCAATCCTTACTGATGATACATGATACACTTAAATTATAAAATGAAAATTTACCTACTTCTTCAAGAAAAATGTCCTGGGCATAAATATTATCTCAGAATGTGAAATAATTTTTTAAAAAGTTATAAAATCCCAATGTCGCACAAGCTCAGAGTTTCACCACATACGGTGTTGGCTTAGACTGTATTGGTTTTGTCAGCCTTTACTCTGCTGGATTGAGAAAAAAAGAGGTCTCCTCAATGTAGAGATTTGGTAATTTCTCTTCTGAAACAAATCCTGCCTAATGGAGTTCAGAAAGCAAGGCTGGAGGCCCCTCCTAAGAGTATGTGGATGTGCTGAGCTCTGTAGGCTTCTCTGTGATCCCAGACTGTGGTTTTAAGGTGCTGAAGAACAGATCTGGGAGGGACAGATTGTACTTCACAGGTACAGTTCGTCACTGGGTGCTCAGGCAGATGTCTTAAGACTCAAAACCCAGAGTGGAAGCAACATTTACACCCCCCCCCATTTTTTACAGATTTTATTTTTAGAGCAGTTTTAGATTTACGACGAAATTGAAACGAAGATACAGAGGTTTCCCACATTATTTGCTGCACCAAACACATGCATGGCTTTTGCCATTATCAAAATCATTCACCAGAATGGTACACTATTTTTCCCCCAAGGATGAATTTACACTGACACACCACAATCACCAAGTTCACAATTTACCTTAAGGTTCACTCTTCATGTTGTACATTCTGTGGGTTTGAACAAAAGTACAGTGACATATATTCATCATTATAATCTAAAGATTATTTTTCACTGCCCTAAAAATTCTCTTTGCTCTGCCTACTCATCTCTCTCTCCTCACCCACAACCACTGATCTTTTTGTGTCTCCATAGTTTTGTCTATTCCAGAATGTGTAAGCATCCGAGGGCAGGCTTCTATGAATACATTAGCTTTCAACTCCTATGTGTACCAACAGGTACCAACAAAAATTGTATGGTATGTTTAGTCTTGTATGTTTATTTATGCTTCTCTAAAATACTTTTTTTTTAAAGATTTTTTTTTTAAAGATTTTATTTATTTATTTGACAGAGAGAGATCACAAGCAGGCAGAGAGGCAGGCAGAGAGAGAGGAGGAAGCAGGCTCCCTGCTGAGCAGAGAGCCCAATGTGGGACTTGATCCCAGGACCCTGGGATCATAACCTAAGGTGAAGGCAGAGGCTTTACCACTGAGCCACCCAGGTGCCCCTAAAATACTCTTAGACCTAAACAACTCTTACCATAATCACTGCTGTTTAAAAAAAATGCACCTGCATAGATTTAAAATTGTCCTACAAAATTCTCATTCTTTGAAGCCGTTTCTGAATGATTTCTGACTAAGTCACTGATACCTACATTTTTCCACACAACATTCTCTATTACTTTAGTGAAGTAACATTTA